TGATTTAGACAGTTTATATGAGTACAAGTGTCACCGCTGTAGCAGTGGATATAACAGTTCCTAATATTGTTCATTTAGATGGAAAAAAAAGTGAGGCCCAGTGAAACTATTGTCAGATTTTACACACTGTATATGGTTTAGTATGTATATTACAACCTTGCAAAGGAATTTCTATCAAGACAATATTGTGCATTTTTGTGGAAGAACTTACTGATCCTCTGTATCCACAGTCTGAGACAAATGTGTACAGATTACTGCAGAAGTGCGATGTTTGTTGAGAGACAATTAGTAATAGCTTTTTAAGACTGCTGTCCCAAATCCACACCCAGACACAAATCCCAAAATTACTGTCAAAATAAGGCTAAACTACTTCCGTATTCTCATTGATCTGAGAAAGGCAAGACAGCATTTATATGCGTCTATCTGAGTTGTCAATCCCCTGGAAAAGAGGCAGAACAAGGGCAGACTCTCAGTCTGCTGGGATTGCAGCCGGTTTAAAAGAGGGATAGAGTAAATGGGTCAGTGGGGCGGACATTAAAAGAGCAGCAGGTTTTACAAAAAACGGCTCAATACCATTGTGACCAGCGGGCATATTGCTGTCGGTCCTACAGAGCTCAGCTGGTACTTCTGATCCATTAAAGGGCTGCACTGTAAAACTGAAGGGACTCTGGAACGTGGCCGCATCAGGCTCAACTGAATCAGCATTTTTGTGCAATGGAACAAGTAAAAGTTCATTCCACACTGCCAAGCGTTTTGGCTGTGGCGCCTTCTTTTTGGTTCTGTAAGAAAGCAAGGGCGAGAGCGACTTGTTAGGTATTGAACTATCGAGAGTAATATTTTTTTCCACTTTCCAGTGGGGCCTGTTTTGCATTTTTCAAGAACCAGAAGACCTTGTTTGATTAAAAAGGGTTTCATGGGCATGCACAAAAGGGTAAGGTAGTGGAAGTTTAGGAATGTAGTGTGGGTGTTTTTTGGAGTTTTGGACAGGGATTTCCAGGGCTTGAGAATGCTTGAGCAATCATTCCTTCAGTGTGGAAACCTTGATATAGTATGAGATTTTCCAAGAGTCGAGTGAAATGAACGTCCAAATATTGGAATTTCTTTTTCAAATTAGACCGTATGTTGAAATCTGTTTAGCTGAAGCTGCAGCTGTTAGATTTATATAAATAAGATTATTTATGGTTTGGTATTGGGTCATCTAGAGCTGTCTTTGGAGCTGTCTGTGGTGGGAGACTTGTTGTTTACATAACCTGTTTTGAACAGTCATTCCCAGTTAATTTAAATTAAAAAGAATAACTTACAATCATGAGAGAAGCCAGTTTTGTAAAACTTTAGTTTTTAAGTTTTAAAACCATTTCCATAAACCAGTGTAAATACAATGATGTACTAGAGCAGTCACAACAGTTAGATAAATAGTCTAGTTATATGCATATACAGTATGTTTTTCATGTAGATTCTTAGCAGTTTTTTTAAAATTTTGTATCTGAAGATGCTGATGAACAAATAAGTAAATATTAAATATCTATAGCTAGAAGTTGGATGATGGATGTGGTTATATATGATTTTTTTTTTAATTCTGCTATTCCATATATTGTGTGGTTTTTGAATTTCATTGATTTGCTGGTCAAACCTCCCAGTTCTAAAGTAAACAGAAAATTTAAGTAATTTATATATAAATATTTAAGGATAAATAGCCCTACAAATACAGATAATGCAACTTTACACTTGTTCTATTGACAAAAAAATAACCATCTGCTGTGGATCAGAAATCTTCTATTTCTTTTGGAGTAAATCAGACAGTTTTCTGCATTTTGGGGAGATCGCTAGTAAACCTGCAAAATGGTTTTGATCTCTGGAAGGCTTGCAAATGGGACTACGTGAACAGTTTGGATGACATTTGTAAATGTTATTTGTAATTCCGAGTTTGTTTAGTTGAATTAGCAGCCTGGTGTCACAACATCTTGCCTGGAAGAAAACGTGTGACTTGTTTGTGGCCATCAGAGTGGTTTTCCAGCTGGAGGGCTGCTGATGTCATGCTGTGATGGGTCATGAGTCTGTTCACAATGTGGAGCCGAGAACATGATAAATGAGCAGTTTTGTATTCTGTCCTATAACAATGCAGGGGCAACCAACCTTCAGTCTTCGAAAGCCGCAGATTTTTTTTTGCATTTTCTTTTGGGCCCTCTCCGAGCTCTTGGATACCTCGGTGAATCTCTCATATCTCTGGTACAAACTGCTGCTTGCTTCCATGTCTTTTAACCACTAACGATTTGAAAAGAGCTATGAGAGTGGCCTGAAGGTTTTGCCTGTTGTTGCAGTTTGGAAGGGGGTAGTTTTTTTTTTATGAATAGAAAAGATCTGTTAAAAAAAACAAACAAACTTTGAACTGTGTATCCCTGCCCTGGTTCTTTCTCCAGCCCTGACCCACTGTGTGCCCAGGCTGCCAGATTGCCAGGGCAGCGTGGGTGACAGGTGGTGGGGAGGGAGGAGAGGGATGGTTAATTTGGACAGGTGGGATAGGCAACAATGGAGCGGAGGGTTTGGAAAGAGCCGGTGGGGGG